GCGCCTCGCAATGAACGCGAAACAGTGCCATCAGCGGGATGCAATTTAAATTCTCTTAGAACAGCCTATTCCATTATTCGCTCGTTCATAACGTGCACAAAGAATCGAGGAATCCGTAGGAACGTTATCAAGGATGGAAGAGAAACAGTTTTCAAATCTATTTTTATCTTAGACAATATTTTTCAATAAGGTTAAAAGAAAAAAAAAGATTTCGAAGTAAAACTCTATCGAAACAAGGTTCGATATTCTAGTTGGAAACGATCGATACGTGGTTACTTGGAAATTTTTTTTCTTCATAGGGAAATCTGTTTCTGTCATTTTTCACGTGCCGAGTTTTTATCGATACGTCGATCAAAACGAAGAATGAATAAGCAATAAGTACAATTACAAAGCCGACGCGTAACATCACGATTCGATTTTTCCTAAGGCAGATTTTCTCGGTGGCACGGTTTGTAAATATCGCGCTCGTATATATTTCTTTCCTCCCTGCATTTTTATTGCTTCTAAATATTCCATCGAGAAATATAGGTAATGCAGACAGATATTCGATATAAAATCAAATGAAATATTCGGGGGAACTCCAGTTCCACTTGATTAAATGGTATGATTATTTATAGACTGATACCTGGTGAGATGAAATCAGAGAAATACGTTTACAAGACTGTAAAAAGATACGGATGGTTGACCGAGTTTTCAATTAATCTTCATTTACGAACCTCCGAAACGCGAGCACTCGTTTTCTATTTGAAGAATTTGTATTTTTATAATTAAAAAAAAAAAAAGAATTCAATTCACGTCTAATATAATCGCAAAAAAAAAAAGACTAAGAAATTTTTTATTTTGGAATTATAAACGTATGTGTATATGGATGTAGAAAAAGACATAAGTTGTATTTTTGGTGTTTTTACAAAAATTTGATATCTACGTCGAGAAATTGACAGTGACGATCAATATCATACCGTCAAAATCATTTTCATCTCGGTTCAGGATTAAATATTTATATCTACTATTTCCTCGAATATGTTAAAAATATTGAATGGCAGAATACCAATGACGACCCGTAAAAATTTAATCTATGAATCTATTATTTCTTCTTTCGACTATACATTATATTAAACTTCTTACATTCACTCCAACTAACACTAAAGTAATCAACGAAAATAAAAATCTCATATATTCTCCTAATCGATCTCTCAAAAAATAAATAATTTCCATTTCCACTTCCACCTAATACAATTCCATATAAAACCTTTTCATGAAAATCGTATAGTATTTCAACAATTACGAGACCACAACTGACAACCCCTGATACACCCAACAGTCAAGGAACCTCCAATTTACAAAATCAACCCTCTACGAACGAGGAGGAGGGGGTTGTTGATTCTCGCCCGATAAATTCCTCCACGCGTTCCATCCGCCCAACAACAATTTCCACATTCGAATCTACAACTCTCACCCAGCCCCAAACACGATTTTCACAATTTTTGCAATCGGCCCGGCCTCGATCGCCGCGTTCGCCGCTTCCGTTCCGCTTGCGTCGAAATGGAACCGGTATAAAATTTCAACTCGCCAACTACGCCGCTGCATTTTTATCGGCCACCTTCGATCGGCAGCCTCGTAAGAGATTTTTATCAGATGGAACTCTCCTCGAGTGCATTTGCGAGCCGATGATTGCTTCTCTCGCGCCGAAAGGAGGGGGAGAGAAGGTATCATGTTCGACGAGCAACCCTTCCTCTCCACCTCTCTCGTTCCAATCCGCTCCAAGATGAAAAGGGGTAAAAAATAAGCAGGGGTATGAAAAGCGAGGGAGGAGAGGACGAGGTTGTCCTTTCGAGGGGAGGAAAAGAAGAGAAGAAGCAAGTAGGTATCGAAGGAGAAAGGAAAGAAAGGAAAGAAGAGGAAAACGAGCGAAATTCGTCCGTTTGAAAATGCATAATTCGCTTTTGTTTACAGCGAGATCGATCGATCGATCGATCGTTAATCCATTTTCTTCTTTGCCCTATTGTCCCTGAGAATTACGTAGCTCAAATACAATTACGAATTAACGCGTCTTTTCTATCCCCTATTGTTTCCACATTTTCCACGATTTTCCTTCGCCACGTTTGAATTCGTCGAGTTGCTCTCTTGTTAAGGATACATTGGCCGTTCGATAAGCCTTTTGTTCCGCCCTTTTCATCCGAAATAACCGCCTTTTTCCCTTCTAAATGGATTCTGCACAACTGGATCGTTCGAGATAGTTGAAACTGGAAATTGTTTTTCCTTCCAAGTTCAGTGCTCGGTGAATTACGTACTTTGGTTCCTTGGAAGGATTGAATTTAATTATGATTTTGAATATCGTCCAAAGAATTTACCGATGTAAAAAACAGGATGAAGATCCGCAAGCAATGGAGTTTAAATGTAATCCTTTATATATAACGCATCTTTCCTTTTGTAAACAACACAATCCACTCCTCCAAAACATTTTTAAACAATTTATTCAAACATCGTATCGCGAAATTAATTGCGATTAATTTTCCAACGATCTAACAATATTTCGAAACGATTGGAAAAATCTTCTGCTATAACCTCCAATTATATGTTCGATTCGAATATAAATTCTTCGTCCAATAATAAACGAAATTGTAACCAAAATACCAATACTCACGAGAATCGAAAAAAGCTCGATTGTCTAAATCTACAACGACGAAAAGAATTTATATAATTTATGTATCGATGAATTCGTCGAAAACGTTCACGTTTAAGGGGGAATATTTCTAGGTTAAGGGAAACTTGTCGTGTTCGTTAAACAGCTTAGTACGCATCCGTGATGTCTAAAGGGCGGTAACTGACCGTGATATTAATTGCTTTCTGGCTATTAGCAAATGGGTCCACGGAGATCTCGCAAAGGGAGCGGCCATCCCCTGTACGGCCGTTTGCCATTAACATTAGCGCAACGTGCCATGTTACCTGGCACGTTACCATTGCAACGCGTGCACGCGCTCAAATCGCGCGCAACCGGAAAATGCAACATTGTTTGTCACGTGCGTGCGTGGGTGTGCATGTTGGAGATAATGCACAACAGAAAGTTAAACCTAACTCGAGACACATTTCTCAGTCAGCTAATCTTGAGGGTTAATTCCGACTCTTGGTCGATCTCTCTTGGGGGTTAATTCGTCTGAGGCTACTATAGCGAGGGATTTGTTGAATACGGTATCGTATAGTTGGCCTACTTTTGAGAAATAATTGTAATCCATTGTTTGGACGTTGTTTGGGGATAAGTCGATAATTCTATATTTAAGATATGGATCTTTGACACAAGCTAAATGTTCGAACATAAGATTGTATCATAAACTCATTTATATGAAATCTATCGTATCGTTGGTTATGAGAATCGAAAGGAACAAATTAAGAATAACGAATGTAATGATTTTTATTTCATTCGCGTCTCGATGTACGAAAAATTTAATATTCGTTGAATGGATATCGTATAAATAACGAATGAAAACGTCGTATCGTATCCGTATTGAAAATGTTTCAGTTCGGATTGTAAATGTTTCGAAATGGTAAATGGTTACGCGTGACAAACGCTTTTTCTGTTGCAACTGCATATTTGTAACCCGCGAAAGTGGGATTTGCGTATTCAAAATAGTTTTCGAAAATTTGCTAATGCATTCGTAGTCGATTTTGTCAGTATGGATTCGTTTGCCAACCGACAAAACCCGGTACGCAAATATACAAACGTTAATTAAGTTTCGACTCGGAGGATATGCGTACATTATAAAAATGTTACCCGGATGGATAAAGCCAACGTTGGCAAATGGTAAGGGGGTGGATGTAATTCGGGCGAGCATCGTTGAAATTTTCATCGCGTCGATAAAAACACTCGATGAAATGGAATAAATTTTCGAGTGTAATACAAATGTATTCAATGTATTGGAACGTTTACCGGGAAAATTTACAGTAATAATTAACAGCACGGAAACTCACTAAACGTGAACATTACACGTTGTGCATAAACACAACATTTCATCAAATTTTATTTTTCGCTTCGATTAACGCGTACTATCTGTTCTTCTATTACCGAATTGCCATTTGATGAAGGTAATCGATTATTGATGAACGTTAATCCCTTTTTTGACCTAATTTTTTGCCCTATTTAATTTTTATTCTATTGAAAATTTATTTGGTGCTGTATCGATGTAATATGTAGAGAAAATTGGAAACTTGTAAAGATATTGATTTGAAAAAATTATTAATCATCATTTTCAAAGTAATTTTCAATTAATTTTCGAGTAATTTTAAATTCCAAAATGAAACACATGAAATCTAAACTTTCACACGACAAAAATTAAAATCTAATTTTTATTTATAAATTTGTTTTAATTACGATTGTAAAAAATGAGACATTTATTGCTTTATAAATGCATTTGTCTATATATAAAAATTATCCGACATATTATATATAATATATGTTATATATTATTATAATTATTAAAAAGAAATAAGAATATATAGTCATATATTAATTAAAATTAAAATTAAATAAAATAACACATCTACGAAACATATATAGTCTTATAAGAATTAAAAATATTCTTAAAAACGTACATTATCTATTTTTCTCTCTCTTTGTCTGATTTATAATTTAAAATTAATTAGATAATTGCAAATAAAGAATTTTTAAAATAAGACGTTTTTAAAAAATTTCATAATTACGAACGCCAACTTTAGATGTCACTTTTTCCCGCGCCATAATATTTGACGATATATAACAGCAAAATAATAAAATCGTTTTTAATTCGTTTATGTGTTATTTGATAATTAAATCATCATCATGTCAAAAGTAAACAAGTATACGATTACTTTTGAATGATAAATATATTTTCTACTAAGAACGAAAAAGTGAAACATAAATCGATAAGCAACAGGAATGAATACATTCCCTCCAAATTGATCGAATACATCTTTAAAGATGTCGGCGGTCGGTATCGAGTTCGATAAATATGATTGATTACACTTACCTTGAAAAGCAGCCTCGAACGTGGTCTTCTCCTCGATGGGATTCTGAGCAAGCACCAAGACAATCGCCAGATGAGCAAGGATCACGAAAAACCGGTAAACACGAAGTTCAGCCATCGTCCTGCGATGTACATGCACGCGTCGCCCCGACTGTGTTCACTTTCGCATTTCTCGCAAATCGAACTTCTCGATTGACTATCGATTAATCGCGAGTTCGCCGTCGCGTAGAGAGCACACTGATATCGCGTTTCGATCGATCAGCGACACTTCTCGATTTGAATCGGTCGATTCTATAAATGGAAAAAACGCGTATGAAGATCACTGTATAAAAACACTAGGTAGAGCGAAACACTTTTTTTTTTCTTTCTTTTTCTTTTGTGGACAATGCGAAGGCACTCGGTCAAGTGTCTCGAAACACGAACGTATACAACCGAAACATTCTGAGAGAACTACGAGGTCGTGTCAAGAAGACATATATCGTATCGAGTATATGGCAATGATAACACGGCTACGGCGTAAAAAGTGGACAATTGTCTGCCTTCCACTTTCAGCGTGTATATACACCGAAGCACGCCGGGCCAGCTACTCGTGAATGTACACCAATACACAGCACAGTCGCGTACTTTTAACCTATGTCCTTTCGTACCGTGTGTCCTCTATTGGTAGAGAGCTCTTTTCATGTCACTGTCTAGTTTAACATTCAATTGTGCGTATAATGAGATCTTTTACCTATATTTGTCGTACTTGTTATCCGTCGGCAAATGATCGGTCTTTATTTTCCCGAATGATATCCGATGCAAATTCACTACGTATGCATATCGATATTGATCGATATTGATATCGATATGCATATTTTATAACGTTCAAAGAGAGATACTTTTTTAGAAAAAAAAAAAAAAAAAAAAAAAGTTATATGAAAGAAATAATGTCAATTTTTATATATATATGTGTGTATATATATATATAAAATTTTAATACAATTTTGAATTAAAATTGTTAGATAAAAATTAATTTTGATATTATTAAAATTGTAAATATATATAATTTTAAATAAATCGAGAATAATATCGAGAATAATATTGAAAATAAAGAAGAAATAACCGATGGAAAATATATTTAAATAATTAATTACTTGTTTACTTACACCATAGCAATTTTTATGATGTATTTTTAAAGAAGCATATTAAAAGCAGAAAATTCAAATAGCAGGCCCGGTGAAGATCGTAGCAAACACGGCTTCTCTCGAAAGAATAATTATTTTATTCCGACGCAATTCTTCTTGACACTACCGGATTATTTAAACTCAAACATAAACTATCAAGTATGGTGAACAGACGCTGAACTCTCTACCTTCCTTAATCTTCATATAGTTCAATGACCACAATTGAACTGCTTGAAACCATAGTTATGTCACACGAATCGGAACTACGCAATACGATCGACAACGCCACGAACAACGGCACGAACGTTTGAAATCACAGAAAGTAATAACTGTATATACACCACTTTTCGCGATATATTTCCGATTATTTGATTAATTTAATATATTAAAAGAAAAACTCAATAAGATAGCTTATTAAAGACACTCGTAAAAGAAATATTTCACCGCGATAGAAAAGGAAGGTAGAGAAGAATGATAGGAAAAGAACACGAAAAAGTAACGATCGGAAACATTCGTTTAGACGATATACCTGCCAAGAATGATCTCACGATCGTTATTCAAGACAAAAGAAAGAAAGATATGATTACTAAATAGACTTTAACACACGCGCGAATCCGAAAGTGAAGGGAGCTCCACAACAGCCGTCGATGCCGGCCGGTGTCTCCAATCGAACTGCGGGAGTTAGTCGACGGTGGCGCCGCCGAGGGACGCCGAGCTTGGCCGTGTGGCATGCGTCATAACGCCACCGCCTTCGATCGGCCGCCATTTTTTTTTTGAAGTATGTTACTAACCCCTTGAAAACATTCCACCCCAAACGCTCGTTTTCCGATCAGAACCGTAAACTTTTCGAGGATAGAAAAAAATCAGTTAAATAATATATAATTTTTTATATATGTAATTAAAAAAAAAACTTTGTAAAAATATTATTGTCATTGTATATAAAATTTTATAGGAAATATATGTATACAGACATTTATCGTTGACATCGAAGCTTATACATATACATATTAAGCTTAATAATAAAATGTAAAAAATGTTAAAATTTACCGTAAAAGATTTTTCTTTACGGTAATGATATTTTCAATTTGAAAGAAGTAGAAAGATTTAAAGATAATGACAAGATTTTCAATATAGATAATAATAAATAGATAAAATAAATAACATACTTAAGACTTTTTATCATTGACTTATCATTAATTTAAATTTCCTTTAAACCGATTAACAACAATCTCTTGCAATTAAACGAATTTAACCATTATCTTATATTCTATAAGACTTTAACAAAAAAAAAAAAAAAATAATCTTTACTATAGAAAACTTAAACGACGAAAATCTAGAACGAATAAAACGAAATAAAATTGTAATGATATAATAGGACTGAAAAAATATTGCACATTGAAAAAAATATGAGAATATTTTTATTTTTTTTGTTTAAGTCGTTTTTCTATTGTAATCATTAAATATAAATCAAATTCTGAATTAAATTTATCAAGTTATATTATTTTTTATACAACACGCGATTCTATATATATTTTTATTTATTAACAATCAATAATATACGAAAAATATTGTTATATTGGTTAATTAAGCGCAATTCCATAATACTTTCACAAACTTTCGTCTGTATATTATGTATAGAACAACACTTATCATAATGTATCATAGTACAAAATAAATCTAAATATGTATAAAAATTGAAAATATGCTAATACTGTAAACGTTACATTATAAATATAGATAATCTATGTACTATCCTACCGAAGAAAAACTTAAATATAAAAGCACCTTGCAAACATTCTTAAAAAACTTCTAACAATAAGTATATAAGTATATATTGCGAACACAATATTAATGAACTATACTTTTACTCTTAAAAAAAAAAAAATAAAATAAAATATATTATAACTTTTTATATTTTACATATAAACCATACTCTTATTTTGGACGGACATTTGTACGAATAATTTGCACGAACGTTTATTCAATTGTCAAAAGTCAGTCTACTATGTAAGAGAAAACAGAAATTAGAAATGCATGAACATTTCTGAGTCGATGAAAGAAATTGATATATATATATATTCATTATATTTTCATTCATAACAGGGTAATATTATTGCGCATTCCTACTGTTTTAATGTAATGTTTTTTTTTTTCGTTCAATATATCAAATAATATATACTTATATATTACTATATATTCACGCTTTAAAATTGTCCCTGTAAACAATAACTATCTTTCTCTCGACTCAATATTTTATTATATTTATTTACGTATAAATAATCACTCACGCGGAATAAACAATACGCGAAATAATGAACTTCATAATATTTCTGACGCAACAATTGAATTGCATGATGACAATTCAAATCTCATATTTAATTTGCCATTAAATATCAGCTTAATAATTTTTTATGGTTTTCGTGAAAGTAGTCCATGATTCTTCTATAGGCGCCAATACCGTGATTACAATGAGAGCCGCAGCGAATAGGATGATTACGACAAAGTATATGCCGAAGATAAATTTCCTGATCCCAGCATGCTATTGAACAGAATGAGAAATGAATCTGTTGAAGATTTTTAGAGATTCCCGGCGCATCACACCAATTCTTATTAACTAAGAAACTTACAGGAGCATCCTGCCTTGCATCTGGATGGACCATTGAACCACGAGAATGCATATCTTTCATAGGAAATGAATTCACCCTTTGACTTGCTTGTCTGTCAGAAGCACATCCAACGAACTAAAAGACATATTGATTTTCCTAGTTAATTATGCTTATATTAAATATATCAATTTAATATAGAAACTAATCTATAATTACAATATTGAATGTCTCATATTCTCATTCACTCTTGTATAGTTAAAAAGATTTTCAACAGTAATAATCAAACATGAAGATATATGGATTACATATGAGATCAAAGAGAAGTTGAACTGATTTCTCTAAAATAATAATTAGTCGTGAATTAATATGAAATTTAATTTCTTTAGGAATAGATTAAATGTTTAAAGCAATGAATTACTGTGGAGCAAGAATATTATATGATAATTATAATTCAAATGATATATAAAAAAAAAATGATGCAATATTTTGAAAAATTCAAAAAGATTAGAGAGATTAATAGCAAAAATCCATTAAGAATAATATAATTGATCTCAAATCGATCTTGACATACATATTCATTCGTTTGTAAAACTCTGATAACCTTCTCAATCTCTTTCAATCAGTTTATTGCATTTTTTCTTTCAGATACTCATTTAGATAGATTAAAGTAGGACATACTTTATAGATAAAATATATCTACCAAATTCATATATATATCAAATAGATATAAAACAATTTTACTTTAGAGATATCAAATATCATTCTTACCGTCAAAATGAGGTGAGTCAGAATATGGAATACTACATAGGCGGCCAGAATCCAGTCTACCCATTCCGGGAGTTTGGCCTTATTCACTCGAACCGCGAAGAACATTGCAATTACTGTGAAAGGAATTTCAATGCGTTGGTTAATCCATTGTTAATAGAAATAATAGAAAAAAAAACGAAACGCACACAGTATTCAAAAATAAGAAAGACTTACTGCTACAAATATGCGCCGCATTCCCAACAAACCAATGCACCCAATTGAAAAGAGATCTTCGTGGTGCTCCTGGATGAGGTCTTGCAGCTGCCATAAATGGTTGAATAAAGACTAAAATCGTGGTGGCTAATCCCAAAGACGCGTGTATCGTTTCGGAACTCCATTCACCCAGTTCAACAAATATTATTACAAAGGCAGCAATAGTCATCGACCATGTCAATATCATGAAAAATCTATGCCACTTGAGTAGACAAAAAAAAGAACAAAATACTTTGTTTATAATTAATATTTAATAAGTACGATATTAAATTAAAAATAGTAAGTAATAACGATGATATTATCATATTTATATACGAATACTTGATACTAAATAATCTTCTAAAGTTAATAAGTATCCTTCAACCATCTAAGATATGTTCAATATTATCTTTGGATATTAGCCAAAGTTAAGTGTTCTTCTGAAACGTTTACATTCTCGAGTTCAACAACGTTAAGTATAACAGCAAATATAACTGTTTGTTAAAAATGTAAACGTGCGCTGCATAATAAAAGCCATATTAATATAAATATCCATTAAATTAAAAATATCCAATCATCGCATAAAATCGATACGTTTAACGAATTTCCAGGAATCACGATGGCAATTTAATTCTTGTCATTTCGTTATTATGAACGAAATATTACGAACGTATTTATTATCCAGACTGTACGTCATAAAGCAAACAATTCTCACGACGATCGGTACAATTTCATCCGGTGTCTCCCAATTAAAATCTGATTACGTAAAATGATTAATGTACTCGATTTAAATTACAATCACGCGACCATGCGTCGATTGTTAATTTTTAAAAAGAACAACTCTGTGACATTATCAAATTGCCTTTCTATTCGTGGTTCCTCCGATTAACCTCGATCGAACTCATGAACCCACGGACAGGCGCATCGACCCGCCAAATAGGTGCCATCACACACAACAACCCTGAGGTCGTTAGTTTCACTGGATCGAGATCTTACCAGCAGCTTGTGTTTCGTGCACGCGATTACGGGAAAAATTGGATACTTACAGCGAACCAATGATCCTTTCCACACAACTGCGAGCTGACCCATGTCTGCCTGTAGTATCTGGCAAGAAGCATGCCGATGGACGCTGTACCGATCCAAGAGGCCAGCATTAGAGCACCGTGAACACGAATCAGGATGTTACTCGCCGTAGTAAAATCGCCAACGTCGGATAATAACTTTGCGCCACCCGTAGCGTCGCGTGCCACGTCGTGGTATCCGATACCATTATCTAATATTTATTTTATATATTTTTATATATTTTTATATACCTTTTATTTTCCTTTATTTCGTATATATTTTTAAACGAAATTGAAACGTTACGTACTTTTTAAACTTTTACCAGAAGCCACAAGAAGATTGTACGGTGTATTGACGAGATCATACTCTCGGCCTTGGACGACAGTCATCTTTTCTCTCCAAAATTTGCATGAGATTACGTCATCTTTGATCGAACTTGCCTCCAATCCGACGGCTCCTTCCTGCTGCAAATGAAATCGTAAATAGAGCAAGGCCACGATAAATTTCTCGTAAACCGCAGATCAACACGATCAAGGAATGATCGGTAACGATATTACGCACAAGCGAAAGTCAGCCACCGCCACGAGGTTCAATGTATCAAGATCGTATTAATTTCACCTGCTCGCATAATATTGACCTCGATATTTACAGACGAATAGAAATCTCTTCTTTCGTGTTAATTCTGGTCCTTAAATATCTTTTCAATGTCAAAATAAGTATAAAATTAATATAAAATTTATATTTTAAAATTTTTAACATAATGTAATTAATTACAGAATAAAATTCATTTCTATCTTTGCTATCTTGATTATACGACATTTGGTATTCTGCACCATAAATATGACAAATAGTGGAATACGCACCATAGGCTGACGTATATTCGATTTTCCAGAGTTCCAAGACATGTGTAATGCAATTTCTCCTTCTTCGTTTGCACATTCAACCACACTGTCATCGCCCTACGCAACATATAAAAGATTAAATAATCATTCACTGTAGAATTACGTTAATTGAA